ATCCAATTAACAGAGTCTTTGGTGTATTGGCTTCATTTGTGGTCCTGTTCGACTTTTCGTTGAACACCTTCTCCACAATGTGACTAATTAACGCATTCGGCATATGTCAGCTGGTTCAAGTGCACAACACACCATTCTCCGTTGTGGTAATGAGTAAGTAATTATGTCAAACCGAGCAAGTGGTAAAGTGGTACTCACTTTCAATTGAGGAACATCTTCTGAGAAGACAGCTTCCGTTGCTGTGAATGAAAATGAACGGCATAAACCAGCAAAGAATATGTAGCGCTTGTCACCTAATTTCAAACCTGGTGGAGTTACAACATCAGCTAAATATAAAGAAATTTTAATTAATAAATGGTGATAATGTTAGCACAAATATTGAATCAATACTAGTATTTATTGAAAATTTATGCCATGGTTATTAATAATAACGAATATGACATGAAATATTTAGTGCGAATTTGAGCATAATTAGTATTTAAAGCAAAATTTGTACATTTTGTAAAATTTAGTTCTGTATCATACTTTGAAACGGTAAATTAAATTAAGGTTACAAATTTCCATTGATTTTTAATGCTTTTATGAAACTTTTTTATTCTTACTTGTTCCGTTAAGCATGTTTGCGTAATCAGTGTCCCAAATGTAATGTGATCTAAGCAAAATTACAGTTTTAACTCTAGTTCAGATAATTTTATTAATCACAAAGTAACTCAAAGTGCTCACGTCATTCCCTTAAACGCTTCCAACTCTCCGAGTTTCGTAATATCACCTTCGCCAGTATTGATGGTGAAAGGTCCATCGAGCGTATCGTTTAGCTAGAGAATTAACAAATGCCGGTAATTAAATTTCAACCTACAATTTCAATGCAGGCAATGTGCATTAGAATTTAAGCTTACATTTTTTACTATCCCATAATAACTTGCGACGTTTTTGAGAAAACCTTCTATTTCAAATCCCCACATGTAGCTACTGGCCTTTGATTTCATGAACACTTCATCAGACCAACAACATACTTCTCTGCTTTTTCTTGCAAAAAACCCATCACCGGGGAATAAATATCTGCACACCTATTGAAATAAAATTGGAGCATTTGTGAAGATTTTGAAAATATTGAAAGCTTGAAACGAGCAGACTTACTACTTTAATGATATTTGGAACGGTTATTGTTTCATTTTCAGGAAATGCTGATGACTTGTTCGCCTCGAAGTACATTTGGCTAGATTCGGAGTACACCAGGCATTTCTTAGATTCACATTCGTCCGTGTAGGTAATACCCAATTTTTTTGTTTCTCTTCTGTTAATGAAAGAGTTGGGAATAAATGGAAGCCTCTCCAGATTTGGCAGGAAAAAGCCCACAAACTTTAACATTTGTCGGCAAAGGGCTCTGTCAATGGGATAAAGTCCACTTATTTGATGTGGTCTGCCTGTTCAATGAGCAAGTACTTTTCAGAGACCTGAGTAATGATCAAGTCTATGAGGGGTACTTAAGAGGTAATTAGAAGCCTTTTAGATAAAGATGTCTTAACGTCTTCGTTATGCCTATTAACTGCTCTTATTTTTCTTTCATCTTAGTAAATGATTTTGCGCTTAACCACTTTTTCCGAAGATCAAATTTGGCTGAAAACCAATATAACTGCATCCAAGTGTTGGCCTGTTCGCCGACCAATGATTTCCAGCACTGTGGAAATCTATTTTTTGTCGAATAAAAATTAAAAACACTTCTCAAATTCAAAGTAGTTATTTTTTATCCGCTTACCTATATACATATGGCCCAACTGTTTGCAATTTTGGTTTCGCCTCTGAACCAACAACTTCTTCAGAGTTCGTAATATTGAAGAGTTGGATTTGAAGATCGACGATGGAATTCTGGGTGAGTATTTGGGAAGTTTGAGAATCATTCGAAAGAATTAAACTCTGTGGTAAATGGAGGAGAAGTGTGTGTGATTAATGGATTGGATGTGATTGTAGGAAAACGAAAGTAAAACATACTTTCACTATCAAGTTCTTTTCAATATCCTCGAAGTAAATTTCCACTGCAAGTAGACCCAGTGCAGCTACAACTAAGACGTAACTCCAACAATTCCACCAATACCAACATTTGTCGAGAGGGTACAATTTTAGTGTAGTATCTGTCATGAGTAAGAATAGTTCAGTTAGAGCCCACATGCATGAATATATCTGAGCAAATTTAATAAATATATAATTGCTCTGATATATTGATACATACATACATATATATATATATATATATATATATATATAAACGTTAATATCAATATTAACCATAAAAATGAACTAAATTAGAAAGCAGCATCTTTACAAAACATTTGAATCGAATATATTTGACAGATGCATAAGAAAGTTAAAATCTTTTTCACTAAATAATTCTAAGGTAACTTTCAACGCTTTTAAGAATAAAGCCTCATGATAAAATAGTTAAGAGATATCAAAATAATGAATGTGAATTTTCTTCATTGTCAGTCAACGACATTTTGACTAATTTAAATTTCCTGGATGATTTAAACAACTCCTTA